GTCTTACCTTTCAATTTTACAAATCAAAAGTTTATTTTTTTTATTTAGTTCTTATTTTTTATTATTTATTTTATTTTAAATAATTTATAAAATTCAAATTCTTTTTCAATTTTATCCTTATTTTTTTGTTTATTTGTATTTGGTCTCCATTATTTTAATATTTATTTTTCTGATTTGAGATAATTTCCAGATTTATTCTTATTATTTTAATTGTTGTTATTTTTTTTTTTTGCTTTAGTAATGTTTTGAAATTGATTTTTTTATGTTATCCTTCAGCATTAAATTGTTTTGGAATTTAGATTCTTCTTTGAGCCAAAGTCTAATATTTCACAAGCTATAGGCACGGGAGATTAACTAGAAGATTTGTCTAAGTGTGGTTTGTTTATTTATCTTTTTTCTTAAGCTCATGTTATTGCAATTTATCCTTAAACATTTATTTAATTAGAGATTGAAATATCTTAATTTTTTCTTATGTGCTTTCTATATCCTTTGTTTTATCCCTTTTTTTTGTTTAATTAGGTCATCTCGGTTTTTTTTCTTTTACTTTTTTGTTCTTTGATAAATTAGTTAGAATTAACTGATTGAAAGTAGACATGAAATGCTCCACTAATGATGGTTGATTTAAGTGATTCGATACTTGTTCCTCTTAAGTAAGATTTCGAGTTCGAATCTTATGAATGGAGTACACCATAATTGGAAGAGCTTTACATTTTAGTGGGCTGATTCGACTAAACTCAATTAGTTAGAGTCCAGTGCATTTATAGATACCGGGATTTAAAAGAAAAAAAACATGAGATGCTTTTTTCATTGTCACCCTACAACCTTTATCAATGATATTTGAACCATCCGCTTTTTTCATTGTCACCCTACAACCTTTACCTACAACCTTTATCAATGATGTTTGAACCATCTCAATGAATTTTTTTAGTGAAGAAATAGTGTCTACTAAGGAACAACAAGGAGATTTCAATGAATATTTCTTTTTTTTTTTTCTTTAGGGTATGATATTAACAATTTATATTTTATAGTTAATTATTACTAAATATTTTTGGTTTGATGCACCTTTTTTTAATCGTATTATTAGATTAAGATCCAAAAGAGTTAATTAATCTAAGTCTTAAAATTTCCTTCTTTATTTAAAAATATACCATCTAAGCATTTTTTTTTTACATTAAAAAATAACTGACCAGTCCTTCCCACAGTATAGGGCAGGGCACCGATTTAGATGATCCTAATTTTAGTGCCATACAAAAAAGAAACAAAAACATCTAGTGCCTTGTGGAACACCAATCAGGATTTTCTGCTTAGATGCAGAACACGGACCATTTCGCAATCAAACATGGCTGTGCTTTTTGCGGATGATAGGACACAAAATGCAGGCAAGGGCTTGATGCACCACTATAAGAAAAACACATCGATCCCACTCTTGAAGAAGGGCAGGTGAAGTGCATGAAATACATTTATAGGCAAGCAATTTCTGAAATTAGATTTAAGCTTGCTTGCTTGCTGCTCTGGCCACCCGCTTTGCTTTTGAAGCGGCCAACCAGGTGGTTGACCGCAGTAACAAACCGCCGCTTTAGTAATCACTGAACCATGGTTTTTCCCAGTAACCCTTTTGATTTGAGTCCTTCAATCCCAGACATTGTATTACGCAATGGTTCAACTAGAACGGTCATTGATAAGAGCATGCCTCAAAAAGTTATCGTGAAAACTAGTTAAGAAACAAAAGCAATTAACATTCCCTCAAAAATATCAAAATCCAAAACTGCCTGCACTACACCATTATTATCCTCCTAGTACATTGCAAAAAAGATGACACTCCAACTCGCTTCCACACTTGTTGCTCAAGTTTTTCTTGCAGGCTTGGGAGCACTACCCTGATCTCTGTGCCGCAGCAGCCATCCGATTGAGGTTTAGCTAAGTCTGCCTAAGCCTTCAATCAATTTTCAGTGAGTGCTCATTGGATTAAACTATGTAGCCAATGGAAGTTCCATTGCAAGATTGGATGAAATTGCTGTGGGAAGCTAGCTTGTTGCCTCCATTGCAATTTATCTCATGTTACCCTCCCGCAAGACATCAATCATATTATAGATCCGCTTGTCAGCCTTTGATTGAATCTGCGTTTTAATCACATTAAAATTACTACCGGCAATCAACTTCGAAACATCACATTGAAATTACTACTCACAATCAACTTCAAAACCACAGCTAAATTTCTCAATAACATATGTATTCCCAGAACGTTTTATCATAGGATCTTCAATATAGAGAAACAACCAAAGCAGAGCAATGAAGTAGAAGAGGGAGTGGTTACAAGAGCTAAGCAAGAAAAAATTGGCAATAGAGGTTTTATGTCAAGGAGCTATCCCATTATGCATATAAACACTATTAACTAAATTAAATCTTAAGTATGCGAGGATTTGAAGCATTTTCACCTTCTTAGCAAGGAAAAGTACAGCATCAACTGTACCCTCAGCATAGATTGATCTACCGCACACATTATGTTGAAACTCAAATGAAACACTGCAAGAAAAAAGAAATCCAAAAGACAATTGTTTTAAACAAAAGAAAAAAAAAACAGAATCCAAATAAAAATTAGCATGAATATTTGTTCTTACGTTTTATCAGGTGATGACAGATAATACAAATGAAATGCATGACCAGACAAATACTCCTCTGGAACTCCCACCAACTCCACTTGTTCCTTGGGATCTCGGATCATTTCTATCTGAACAGTAAGCAAAAAATCATATTAAAAAGACAGTACATTTTTTTGGGAGGTGGACACAGCATAGGACCAAATCTTCTATGAAAACACTTATAAGACAACATGGTTGAGTGTGAAGTTTAAAACCAGAAAAGATGTGTCAAACAATGGCTGGTAATAAAAGTATTATGACTTAACCTCATGACCAAATTTCAATTTTTTTTGTAATCATGTCAAGTTTCAACTTTTACATGAAAACCAAGCAAATGAAGCATGAAATTCAGTATTTTCATGAAGATATAGGAATAAGTTATGCTTTAATGAAGCATGAATAGCTTTATTACCACCTGATCATCAAAAGACACCCCCAATTTCTTGAAGCAAGAAATGACAGCCTTGGCAGTTCCAGATGTGTCCAGCTTTCCTGCTTGATGGGACTCCTTCACCTAAAAATTAAATAAGTTTATCAGCAATATTAGTACTACTGATAACAAACTCAAGTGAGGAAGGGAACTTCTTTTCCAAAAGGGAATCAATGCAGAAAGACATACATGAAGGGAGTATCCAGAGAATGCACCAGGAAATTGCTCAGCCATAATCTCCATGGCTGCAAGAAATGCAACCACCTATCAAAAAGAAACAACCCGTTAGTACAGAGAACATGATAACTTATAGCATCAGGATCTATTACATTTCACAACCCGTTAGAGGCACTCAATCCCATCACCTGTTTCCCCATTTGTGGAGAGATTACTGCATAAACTTTTGAGGCATCCACAGTCTTATATAATATATCCCTATCGCCACCAGTAGTTCCCATCACAAATGGCACCCCAACTCTGCAATACAGATCTGCATTATCTACACATTACAAAAAGAAAGGTCAAAAGATTAAAAGAGGATCAACAAAAGAAGAGAACAAAATCACAACAGGAAGCTTCACAATGCCCATAATATTATAACACATGATGAATTATGAAACTTTGTCAACATGAATCGATTAGCTTTTTCCATGCAATTCTAAGATTAAAAACACTAGATGCAAGAGAAAACTAAAAGAATTGAAAAAAAAAAAACTTGAATTATGATATCCATATCCCATTTTTAGCAGCACCAAAGTATTTTCTTTTCAAGTAGTAAAGTTTGCCAACAAAAAATTCCATTTTGAACTCAGAGTAAAATAGCAAATCTATGAATTTCAGACTTGAACTACCACGTGAACTCTCTTCTGGAAAATAATTAAAATTTCTTTTCCGTTTCAAGAGTCAATAGCTCCAAGAAATTTTACCATTCACCAAATCAGGCACAGTGTAATCCACCACAATCATGCTCGGATGCTCATCATAGAGAGACGCAAGCACGCTTTCTCTTTCGGAAGGACCATGAATTTTAATCTCATTCCCAAAAACTTCCACAGTATTACCAGCCTCCTTTTCCGGGCCAAATGATTTTGGAAGAATTTGAAGTCCAGCAGAATTCGCTGCCAATATAACAGAACTCCCCATTTTCCCATTACAGCCATTTACCTCAAATTAACAAAATAATACAAATTAATAGCATCCAAAGTCAATTTTCCCCTAATCACCATAATGACGAAACAATTCACATCAGCTAACCTAGTAAAAAGAAAAAAAATACAATATAATCATAAATAAAAAAACAAACAATACCGTATCATACCATGATAGGAACTGCAGTACTTTTGGTTGTCATGGACATTACAACCACAGAAGAACTCCGTTTCTGATGTCACAAAACAAAAATATGTTTATGTACTAAAGGGTGTTTGCTAACTTAGCTTGTTAAAGTTTCATTTTTTTTCCATTGCCCTCTTAGTCTATATTGATTCATACAGCAAGCAAGAAGTAAGATCTTTGATTATGAAAACAATACAATGAAAGCAGTAACATGATAGCCCCAGCTTTTTACATTACCTGATAATGGTTGGTGAAGAAACTATTTCCATTAGAGCTAAGTGGGTTGCTAAGATAGAGTGGTTTCAATGGTTCATAAAGCACTGCCCCTTGAATCCACATTTTTCGCTTAAGAAGAAGGAAGAGAAGGAGACGGGGAGGGTTTTTTTGTTTTTGTTTTTTTTTTTTAGGGTTTTAGTGGTATGTATGGTTGGTGTCATAGTGCCACTAGTCAAATAGTTCACAAATCACTAGATCGATACAAAAAAAAAAAAAAAGGAACTATACTGACATCAAATGGGCTTTTTGTAAGGGAAAAAAATGGACTTTATGTTAGCAACCAACAAACAAAACCCGGGTTCGGATCTAACGTCGTTTATATTCCAGAGTGAGTGACGTCAAGTAGAAGTAGGGTTTTGAATATTCAAGGTTCTTCCCATTTTCTTTTGTCAATCTTAAGAGAATCAAAAGAAAAGGGAAATGGTTTTACTGTCTGCTTCAACGAAAGATTTATTATCGAATTCTGTTCACTTTTGTCATCATCAAAATCGAAGCTTTTCGCTTCTCTATCAGAAACCACCACGGCTCTCCTTTTCCTCATCATCTTCTATTGGTCAGTCCTTTCTATTCAATCCAAATTACTAGCTATAATAGTTGTGAAAGATGTTAATTTCATTTTCCTAGTCATTGGGATCCAACCCTGCTGTAATTTTTTATTATTAATGCTAGACTCTTTTTTTTTCTTTTTTTTTTTGTATTCAGTCATGAAAGATCATTTATTTGTGATGTTAATTTCAAAACTTTTCAGGGTTTGGGACGACTAGCATTGGCTTTGAGAGGAAAGAGCGGTCGTCCATTGTGGAAACAGCAGCTGTTAGGCATTTGGAAGGCTCAGTTACCAAAACTGAGGGGTTTCGCTTTGCTGTGGTAAGTTTCTCTGCTTTTCTGTTTATTTAGGCTTTCATTTGAATTGATTTTCCTTATGTTGACATTGACTACTGGAAACAACATTCTAAGGTCGTGGCTAGGTTCAATGAGATTATTACCAGGCCACTTTTAGAAGGAGCTGTTGCGACTTTCAAGAAATATTCAGTCAAGGAAGAAGACATTGATGTATGCAAACTGTTTATTTGAGAAGCTATTTTTTTCAAATTTGTTTTCTTTTTGTTAGTGAATCTTGATTAGGGCGTGTTTGTTTTATTATGTTTCTCATCAGGTTGTGTGGGTTCCTGGTAGTTTTGAAATAGGCATTGTTGCAGAACGGTTAGGCAAGTCAGGAAAATATCATGCAGTGGTGTGTATTGGAGCTGTGGTATGAATGATTTCTCTTCATAACCTTGAAACAAGTTGCTATTTGATGGAAGTATTTTGGTGTTATGAGGGGTGGCTTCCTCCTCAATTTACTTTCCTTGAAGTACTACTTACAGGCTGGCCCTAGTATGTGAATTATTTTTTGTTGATGATGGTAGGTAAGAGGTGACACCACTCACTATGATGCTGTTGCTAATTCAGCAGCATCTGGCGTGCTTTCTGCTGGTTTAAATTCAGGTTGGTGTTCACACTTTTCGCCGGTTTTATTGAGTGGTTTTGAAACTCTGTTTTTCTCTGTTGACCAAGGTTTCAAAGGGTTTGTCCTTCACTGTAGTAATTATCTTGTTATGTACAAGTTTCTGTAACACATTATGCCATATAATGAAGTGAATGTTGAAATGCACCATGGGCTCAAAGATGGAAACAGGCACAGATGAAGAGTGGTTGAAGTTGTCATTATTGCATCAAATATCACTGTGGTGTGTAGAATACTTTGCAAAACTGATAAAACACCATCTCTTCTTTTGTTCTTCACACACCACACACAAGTGTGTACACGGTTGCACACGACCAACTTTAATTCTGCCGGTGTCCTTTAGCATCAATATGTTCTGTTTCTGCCTATCGCTTTTATAACTGAAAAATTGATTTCTCCTTTAAAGTAACATAATATGCATGCTTTGTCAACCCTTGAGGAAATGATCTGGCAGGCAGCTGTCTACCAGTTTACTGCTGCTCTCTCCAGTTCTGTTGAAAGGCTTCACAGTGAAAACTTATAATACTCTCTTGATGAATTTGCAGGGGTTCCATGTATATTTGGTGTTCTGACATGTGAGGACATGGAACAGGTAAATTTGTGAAAGAAGCATTTGAATAAAACAAAAGCACACTTCATATGTTTTTTCTGAGAATTTTTCATCTGAAAACTTTGATAAATGCAGGCGATAAATCGAGCTGGTGGCAAATCTGGGAATAAGGGTGCTGAGGCTGCTTTGACAGCTGTAAGTTGATTGTGTTGAATTTACATTATTAATGCTTGGGATAAGTACATGTACTGATTAATTATTTTCTAGTATTTAGTTTTCTATCTTCTTCCAGCTTACATTTTATTATTTTCTTCCTTGATTTTCTTTGGTATATCTTTCTGTTTGTCAAATCTTCTTGTGGGATAGGAGGTTGAGAAAAGTATTCATCTAATTCATTGTCAGTAGACGATATATTTTCATTTAACATAATAAAGTTTTGAGAGGTGTAGTGAGTGGTTCAAAGAAATGTTGTCTAGTTGCTTAGCCGAGGCAATTGTCCTTAAGGCTCATGTTTCATATTTTACATTTTTTTGATGCATGCAATAGGTTCAATAGGCTTTGGCACATGGTTTCAATGTGCGGGTTTTTGTGATTTGAAACCCGGCCCGGCCCGGTGGGTTCACCCAAGCCTGGGCTGGGTTTCAAATCACAAAAATTCAAGCTTGCAATGAGCTCAGTCAAACTAAGGCGACTTACCAAGTCAGCTCAAAACTTGGGTGACCCGGTATAACTCGAGTGAAACCTTTTTTTTAATAAACCCAAAAAATATAAAATTAATTTATAAATACCTAGTCTTACATATCTTTTTTATAGCTTATATTCACATGAATTGTTTCTTAATTTTTTTTTATGTAGAATAGCTATATATAGTCTATATCTACATGGATTATATCTTAACCTTTTAATGTGAGATAACTATAAATGGCTACATTCACATAGATTGTTTGGTAATTTTTTTAATATGGGATAATTGTGTTACACATCACTTTTTTTTTGTAGCCTCCATTCACATGGATTGTTTCTTTATTTTTTGATATAGGATAATTATATATAGCCTACATCCACATGAATTGTTTTTTAAGTTTTTAATGTGAGATAAATATACTACACTTCATATTTTTTTATAGCCTACTTCTAAATGAATTGTTTCTTAACTTTTTAATGTGAAATAACTAGGTTACATTTTTTTTTCATATTTTACATCCAGATGTATTGTTTCAAAACTGTTCCATATGAAATATTAAAATTTTTAATATATTTTTTTATTCTATTTTTCGGGGTCAACCCTGAGCCGGGTTTAATAACTATGATGAAAACTATTTCATTGATACCAAGACCCAAAGATACAATGAAGTTCATTTTGTTCTTATCACACCATGGTTATTTCCTTTTGCTTGTAATGTAACATGGTGAGTTTGAGTTTTTTGATTGGATAATTCTTATTAATTTTCGGTTAATTTTTTTTATTTCAGATTGAGATGGCGTCCTTGTTTGAGCACCATCTAAAGTAACAAGACTGTTACTTTGAGGAGAGTTATGTGAAATCCTGTATCCCTCCTGGGAATGTCTGTACTGTGTAGATTTCTTTTTCTTCAAAACAGTTGAAATTTTTATGTGCTCAGAAGTTGGTGAAAAAACAAAAGTGCAGCCTAAATATCTCAGATGATAGTCAGCTATTTGTCGGCTGCAAGAAATTGACTTCATACCTGAAATTGCACTGGCAATTGAAGATAGCATGTTTGATGTTGTAAAAACACAGAACTATGCTAACTGCTCATTTGCCTTAACATGTCAAACGGATGGTTTTTTCCTCAGTTACTTCTTTGGGGAACCATGTGTTCCTTTCATGTCAAATTGCTGCAATTTGTCTCATACTTTATTTCCCCATGTCTCCTCAACCATGGGGAATCCTGCCATAATATTTCATGAACAGAACTGCCATAGCACTTCTCACGTCGGCCATCTTGTTTCTGTTTTCCGCCAAGGATGGGAGAAAAAGGAACGCTAAAAACAGAATTCCCCGTGAAGATTGTGGGTGTGCAGAGGAGTGAAACAAAGACGGAAAAGGAGGCTGTTGGCCAGTACACCGTGAAGCTGAGACAATACCTCCCTTGATAACCACTCTATTCGAGAGTGCCAGGACAATAACCACTGGCTATTGCCCTTCAAGCTTCGTTCTAAAACTAAATGACCGAATAACCCCCCCTCTTTTTCAGTAAAACAAAGGACAGGGGAAGAGGAACTGCGAACCATCTCAGAAGGGCACAAGGACGATGCGGTAATTCTATTGGAAGGTTTAATGTTAATGTATTAGTTGTATTAAGCACCATTGATTTGGCTAATCCTAACAAAGTGAACGAAACGCAATCAAGCCAAGGAATAAAGAGAAAAAAAGGCAACACGAAGCTTAGAATCCAAGTTAAACATAGCATCACAAACAAGCTGCCCACATGGACCATGAAAGATTGTCATTTTGTAAAGAATGGCTTGCGGCTAGTTTTTGATCTGCAAGTACAAGCCATGCAGGGAAGATTTATCTTTTTTCATAGCCGCTTGGAAGAAATGAAAATATTCTCTGCCATTAGTCTCTATATACCTTGAAAGATCATAATTTTGATTAAGGGTTCATCTTCTTTCATTGATACATCATACAGTCAATTGTTCTCTATTGACATGGTGATATTGCAGCTTTCTAGTTCCAATCCTGTAAATCCCCAAGCAAAGCACTCCATCCTTGAATGGGCTCATAGTCGTCGAAAACACTTGTCAACTTTCTCTTCTTTCTGTTTGCCAAGTTTGTCCATATCCAATTCTCAGCAACCTCAACATCCCATGTCATCATTCCCTCAAGTAAATCAGGTCTGTTTTTCTTTCGTTTGTTGCCTTAGTTTCTACTGTACTTTTTCCCAGGATTTTGCAAGTGCTTATATGTGAGTAGTATTTGAGAATTCATCTATGGCAGAGTGTTGCAGCTATTGTATTTGGCGATGGATCAGAGTCAAGGCTCTATCCATTGACAAAAAGAAGATCAGAAGGCGCCATTCCCATAGGAGCAAATTACAGAATCGTTGATGCAGTTATTAGCAACTGTATTAACAGTAACATAAACAAGATATATGCTCTAACACAATATAATTCTACTTCTCTCAATTCTCACCTCTCTAGAGCATATACTGGCTTGGGCCTCGGCAAAGACGGGTTTGTTGAAGTGATTGCAGCATATCAGAGTCCAGAAGACCAAGGCTGGTTTCAGGTCTGATAGCTTATCTACTTCTGTAACACATGCGTATTTGATGCTTATAGCTTCTACTCAATGAGGGGCAGGCTATGGTCAGCAAAGCCAACGTGATCATTTCTGTTTCTTTTTGTACTAGGGAACTGCTGATGCTATGAGAAGGTGCTTGTGGGTAATGGAAGAGTACCCAGTGTCTGAGTTTCTGGTCCTTCCTGGCCACCATCTCTACAGAATGGACTACCAGAAACTAGTAAATGCCCATCGAAGTAGCCAGGCCGATATAACCATTGCAGCTTTGAATTCAATAAGAGACCAAGATCCTGGTTTAGGCATATTAAAAGTGAATTCTCTAAATGAAGTTACAGAGTTCGATGTGAAGTCAGAGAGGGCAGTAAGTTGATTTTAGTAAATATTGTTTTCCTCCTAAAAGTTTCGAACCCGCGACTCCTGTGGGGATCGTGTTCTCTAAAGAATCTCTCCAAAATTCAGGTCCAAAGTTCCCAAGCATTCAATGAAAATCGTTATAGGGAGCTATCCAGCATGGGGATCTATCTTGTTAATAGAGACATTATGAGCAAGTCTCTAAACAAATACTTCCCCGAGGCAAATGAATTCGGAACTGAAGTAATACCAGGCGCAATATCAACTGGAATGAAGGTCAGGCTGGAGTTAGCTAATTAAGCATTAACTTTGACACTAACTATGTTTGCTTTGTCCAAAAATATGCTTGATGTTTCCTTCTCTTCCATGAGCTTTCATTCATGAGAGAGTTCTTATTATGTGCATGGAGCAGGTTCAAGCTTATGAATTTGATGGATACTGGGAGGACATGAGTAGCATTGCAGCGTTTTATCAAGCAAACATGGAGTGCATAAAGAGATTAGACATGGGATACAAGTCAGTAATTTTTCTTCCTGGAAGGATGGAATGTAACACCTATAATGGCCTCTCATCAGCTAACACAAACTTCATTCCTTTCCTGACAGCTTCTACGATAAAGATGCTCCTATATACACCATGCCTCGCTATCTGCCTCCGACTACTGTAACCGATGCTGTCATCACAGAAAGTGTGGTTGGAGATGGTTGTATCCTTAATGTAAGAATAACTTTTCCATCAGCCTCCTATGTTTCTCCCTTTTGCTCAAAGTAAGGAATGTGCTGTCATAGATTGTGTTGTATCTTGTTTCTGAATCTCGTCATGCTTTATTTTCCTGGAAATATCCTTTTGACCTTTCTAAGAATAGAGGTGCAAGATCAAGGGAACAGTAGTTGGTATGAGGACAACCATTAGAGAGAAGGCCATAATTGAAGATTCAGTCATCATGGGTTCTGATATCTATCAAGTAAGAGAGAGCTATTGAAAGCAACTTTCATTTTTAGTTTTCCTAAAGCAACACAAGTTTGTACATTTAGTGATGATACTAACTGAGATGTGGATGTGCTCAACAGAAAAACTATATCCAAAAGAGTGGCAAGGATCAGAAGGGCATGTTGATTCCGATAGGAATTGGCGATGAAACTCACATAAAGAAAGCTATTGTAGACAAGAATGCAAGGATTGGCAGAAATGTAATGGTATGTAGAATCATAAACACAGCCAAACTAATCCAAAGCCAAAACAAGTGATGTACACAAAAATACAGTTGCTTTCAGAGTGTTAAGGTGCGAGTCTGAGACATTATTAAAACAGGATTGTTTGTCTCTGTGGGACTGAGTATTGAGTTCCTGTCATTCCTTACTGATGTAACATCTATGCAATTGTGTTCTGCAGATTATTAACAAAGACAACGTACAAGAATGCAACAGGGAAGCTGATGGCTACATAATCAGTGGAGGAATAGTGGTTGTCCTAGAGAGTGCAGTGATCCCAGATGGCAGCATTTTATGATATTGTTGAATGTTGAACAACAGGATCATCATTCATTTATTTCTCAATCTGATTCTTTCATATAGTTAAAAACAAAAGTTCAACAAGATGTGCAATGCCATTTTTCGTGGGGGGGTGGGATGAGCAATCTCACTGCCACTGCCACCTAAAATGTTCAATATGGAATTTACAATGAAGTTTGATTCTTTCAGTGATTTTCTACACCTATGAACTTGAGACTTTTCACACATTTTACTTGCTTAAATTATTTGAAAATTTTCAACTATATCTGCAAAATATGTCTCGCTAATCACCATGTTTTGGAAATCAGGTTGGGCAAAAAATTCTTTCAAATGCAACCCTTTTATGTGTTTGGTTAAGTTGTTGAAACCGTGTTTCACTTACGAAAAACATCAAGTTAATGTTTTTTGAAACGGAGTTTCAAAAACATGGCTAAACCTAGCCTTAACTATAAGCTATACCTAACTAATTAATTAATCCTTATTGTTTTAAAAACGGAACTTTAATTCCTCTATTTTTAAATTTATTTATAATTTAGTCTTTTGTTAATTTTATGTACTTTTTCAATATATTTTATTTTTTTCCTTGAAAAATAGAATTCATAAAAGAGAAGTATTTGGGGAAATTTGGTTAGGAAAAGGAAGTTTTAGAGCAAAACGCTACTAAATTGACAACAGTAGTTAAGGGATTATTAGATTATTTCTGATAACAAAAGGACTAATTTGATAATTCTGAAAACTATCAGGAGTAATAACTAACTCAAGCAAGGGCACGAAAACGTAAGCTGAAAAACAAAAGCAAATCCCAAGTCTTATCCGACATGTAAAAATAGTTGCTCGGCACTTTCTTCTCTTTCGTCCACTCCACAGTGATAAACTCTGCTAATACTTACCAGCACTTGAAGAAGGAGAGAGCAATAATTCCTTCTCCATCCTGTCCACCAGTGGGTTTCCTTTGATGGGTATGTTTTGTTTTCTCAAAAACTGATGATTTCTCTTCATGGCCATTGTTAGGACTGCATTATCTTTGAGCTGTTTATTTCTTTTCATGCTTTCTTTGCTCTTTGTTTATTTCTCTTAAAGAAAGATATAATCTTTAAAGAGAATTATAAGTATGAAAGGGTTATTAAACACCTTCCCTCAACATAGTTTCTTAAAGTCCTTCATTTTCAGTCCAAAAACAAGTTATAATCTTGCAGTGATGAAAGTTGGAACTGGGTTTATGTATGGAAGACTTGAAGTGGGTTTCTCTAGAGGGACGAAGACAAAGTGTGTGTATTTAAGTAGAGATAGTGTTGTTAGCAGTGAAGGAGTTGTTGATTGTGATAAGGATAAGGAAGATGAGGATTGGAAATTGGAGTTTCTTGGGGAGCTTGATCCATTGGGTTGTCAAGCATCTAAGAAGAGGAAAAAGCAAAAAAATTCAGGATTGCTGAAAGATACTGATGGGATGGATTGGTGTTTGAGGGCGAGAAAGGTTGCCCTCAAGTCGATTGAGGCGAGGGGGTTAAGTCAGAGAATGGAAGATTTGATTAATGTAAAGAAGAAGAAAAAGAAAAGGAATAAGAAAAAGTTAGTTGGTAAGGTTAAGAAAGTTAAGGACTTTGAAGAAGATGATTTGGATTTTGATTTGGACGAAGGTGTTGAATTGGAAGATGATGAAGCTGACCTTAAAAGGATGGTAAGCATGTTAGGGGATGGCATGTTTCAAGAAAGGAAAGAGAAGACCATGGAAGAGTTTCTTCAGAGGCTATCCCAATTCTCTGGACCTTCTGATCGTAAGAAAGAGATTAACTTGAATAGAGCGATTGTGGAAGCACAGACTGCAGAGGAAGTTTTGGAAATCACTGCTGAGATGATTATGGCTGTTGGGAAGGGGTTGAGCCCTTCACCACTATCCCCATTGAATATTGCCACTGCACTTCATCGAATTGCTAAGAACATGGAGAAGGTTTCAATGATGAATAGTCGTAGGTTGGCATTTGCTCGACAGAAAGAGGTGTCGATGCTGGTAGGTATTGCTATGACAGCATTGCCTGAATGTTCAGCGCAAGGTATCTCAAATATTTCTTGGGCATTGTCTAAGATAGGAGGGGAGCTACTTTACTTGTCAGAAATGGATAGAGTTGCAGAGGTGGCCTTGACCAAGGTTGGGGAGTTCAATTCACAGAATGTTGCTAATGTCGCTGGTGCTTTTGCTTCAATGCAGCACTCTGCTCCTGATCTATTTTCAGCGTTGTCGAAAAGGGGCTCCGAGATAATTCATACTTTCCAAGAGCAGGAGCTTGCTCAGGTTTTGTGGGCTTTTGCGTCTCTCTATGAGCCAGCTGACTATTTGCTTGATGCCTTGGATACTGTTTTCAAAAATGCAAACCAACTTGAATGCTCCTTAAAGACTAAAACATCATACTCTGATGAGGAGAGAAGCAATGAAGACAGTGGAGATCTCGATGCAGAAGGACCTCTACAGTCTCCAGTGCTCAGTTTTAATAGGGATCAGCTTGGGAATATAGCTTGGTCATATGCTGTTCTTGGACAATTGGACCGAATTTTCTTTTCAAATGTGTGGAGAACTCTGAGCCATTTTGAGGAGCAAAGGCTTTCAGAGCAATATAGAGAGGATATCATGTTTGCTTCTCAGGCTCATCTTGTGAATCAATGCTTGAAGCTTGAGTACCCGCATCTTAGGTTGTCTCTTGGGGACAATCTGGAGGAGAAAATTGCACGTGCTGGAAAAACTAAGAGGTTCAATCTGAAAACAACTTCATCATTTCAGAAGGAAGTTGCTCGGCTTCTCATCAGCACTGGCCTTGATTGGGTGAGAGAATATGTTGTGGATGGGTACACTGTGGATGCTGTTGTGGTTGAAAAGAAGATTGCTTTGGAGATAGACGGACCAACTCATTTCTCCAGGAATACTGGTTGGTACCTTTGCCAAGTATACAATGATTATCCATTATTTCACACTCAACTACCTAGCTTTTATTTATTTATCCTGTTATATACTGCAGCGATGCCATTAGGACATACCATGCTGAAACGGCGGTACATTGCTGCTGCTGGTTGGAACGTGGTATCATTGTCTCACCAAGAGGTGAGTTCCTCCTAAAATCTCACCGTCCAGAAAGCATCAGTATTACATGTATTTATGATGATGGATGGCAGTATTATTATTTTTTATTTATGAACAACTGAATTCTGATAGTTTGTATCTATGGATGTGGTTGTTGATGCTTGATTGATGCAGTGGGAGGAAATAGAAGGAAGTTATGAGCAGCAAGAGTACCTGAGAGAAATCCTCAAGGAGCATATAGGTGAAGACAGTTGTAGTAGCAGCAAAGATGAATAGTCATCAAGGGAATGAAATGATGGAAAGTTTTTTTGCTAGATAAGATAAATGTAGTGCTTACTACTATTATTGATTTGTTGTATGTTTATGACAACAAACAAGCATGCATAAATAAATAAAAGCACTACCTTGGCTTCTATTTTTTTTTCTTAGTTCAGTACTTGTAGTCAATCAATCAAAGTAAGAATTCAAGAAATAAGCTGTCTTCCCAGCTGTGTTGTGCTAATATATATTATATACAAGTACTTGAAATTCTTTGGTAAGTTATGAGTGAAGAAGCATTGCATTAATATGAAAGAACAAGAAAAAGAAATTGAATGAAGGTGTTCGCTTGTGGAATGTGTTCGCTTCTTCTTCTCAAGGTATGGCTTCTACTGACAAGCAGCAAATAGGTGATAGAGATGCCGAGGAGAAAGATGAAGACAAGGGTGGATTTATTGGAAAGGTGAAGGACTTCATTAATGACATTGGTGAAAAGAATGGGGAGGGAGCTATTGGCTTTGGGAAGCCAACTGCCGATGTTCCTGCCATTTACGGCCCCTCCATCAACCTTGACAAAGCCGACACTGTTGTTGATGTGCTCATTAAAAACCCTGCCCCTCTTATCGATATCGACTACTTGATTGAGAGTGATTCAAGGAAACTTGATAAAAAAGGAAAAATCTACTAAAATTGATAAATATGGAATAAGTAATATTGATGTTCCCATCACCTTCAGGCCTAAGGACTTTGGTTCTGCACTTTGGGACATCATTACAGGAAAAGGCACCGGTCACACCATGAAAGGGCATATTAATGGGGACACTCCTTTCAGAGCTATGAAGATTCCCATCAGCAAGGAGGGTGCCACAACCATACTCAAGATGAACAAAGAAGATGGTGCCAATGATGATGAGGTATGGTAACTGTTTTTGTTTGCTAGATTCTTCATTGTTACATCAGATTTTTGATTGGCTAGATTGAAAATCCTGCTCAACATTGTCTTGCTTCTTTCTTCTCATAGCTTTTACGGTCTCGGCAGACAGTGTAGGTTAACACAGCTTGTGTCTGCAAATCGTTACTTCTCTTGCCTTGCTTGTTAATGATTTCACGATCCTTTCTCAACGTCTAGTTGTGCTGTGCCTTATTCTTGCTAATAATTGGTTGAGCAATTTGCTTTACATTGCACAGTTAGTTGCACAAGTTGTCACTATCCAACAATACAATGAGATAAATGTATGGCCACTGTGCGAGCTAAAATGGTGAGAACTGCTGCTGCTGTGGTAGCTGTGCCATTTGCAGTACTGTATCATTTTCTATGTTCTAACCGTGAACAAACAGAGATGTAAGTTTCGAGGAGTCAAGAAGAGGGCAGGCAGTGCTGAAGCAACACGGTGGGTGTGGGTGCTGGGGGAACATCAAGTCATGTCCATCACAAAATGAATTCCATTCCATTCACAAATTATTGCATACAATACAATCGTCTTTCATGAATCATGCTTGGCTAGCCTGCTAAAATGTCATTTCCTCCAGGCAAGAGCCTGCATATGGGTCAGTTCTCATTATTCGGCTGGTTGGGTTGGTCCCATTGTTGTGAAAAAAACACAGCAATTATTGATGAAAATTACAATAACAAATAAACTAGAAAAAACATAAAATTTAACATAATATACCTACATTTATAAAAGTGATGAATTTTTATATTCACTATATTAAAATATATATTCATAATAAAACTTAAATCGTTAAAAAAAAATCCCATCCAACCCCAAGAAGAATTTTTTCTATGACACCCCTTTAACTTATCATTAAAAAGAATTAGAACATCTTTTTCTATTTGAAAATCATTTTAAAAAACATGATAGAAAACATCTGAAAGCCAAAAGGGCGACCATGGATTTCACGGTGCAAGCACAGTATTCATTGTATTGACAGGGTCCAATCACCTTGGATACTGCCATGGCCGGGATCACCCCTGCTTGCCCGCCTTTTGGATTTCTAAAGATTTCCTCTACTTTTTTCTTTTTGCCCTAAAGAAGATCCTCCAAGATCTTTGAAACACTTGGTCTTCATATTTAGAAAATTCCTGGTGCCATGGCAATTCCAGTCACTGTAGAGAATGTAGAAGCACAACACAAGCGTCCAAGTTCAACCACTTAATTTGTCCGGCATCCCTTTGGTCCTAGCTCAACAACAACATCAATGAAGCTTCCATGGAGCTTCATTAGGTCCCCTTGCAGCATCTTTCGCAAACCTTATGTCACTCGTTTAAGGTCTGACGTTTATTATTCAATGCCAGCACTCCAAGAACTTCCCTATCTTATTGTCAAATTCTGTCCCGAATACAAACTAAATAAACACAGACAACACTGCATGTTTTTGAAGATGAAAGTTGCAGTCATCGTCGAGCAAAAGTGACCATCGAAGGGACTACTGGCCAAAAACGAGAAATGGGTTGGAATTCAATCAACATAGTTGAACCAACTTAGGTGCCCTGACAATAAGACCGCAATTTCAAGAATGTTTTGAGGTTCTTACACAGGCTATTAGGACTACGTACATGTTTCAATGGGGAGATTAAGACACCTTAATTAATGGATCCTACTAGTTAGAAGAAAATATAGATATATAATTAATCAATATTAACAAACACACTAAAAGATGTTTTATTATTTAATATTATATTTTTTTATTGAATTATCTACTCTCATCGATGACATGAATCGCTAATTTAGTAGATTAATTCGGTTGAATTAATTGAAAATTAAATTTTATAATTTATTTTGATTTTTTATACCAGATTATCTTAATTTTATGACTCGAAATACGAGTTTGACAAGTTAACTCGGATCTTTTTTTAATTTTTTTAATCATGTTTCTTTCAATCTTATTTTTTAATATTAGGTTAATTGAAAATTAGACTTTATAATTTATTTTGATTTGTTTTCAATGGGATTATCATAGTCTTATAATCAAAGACTTTATAATTTATTTTGATTTGTTTTCAACAGAGTTATCATAGTCTTATAACCCAGATCGATGACTTAACATGTTAATCTGGGTTAATCCAAATCAATTTAATATATTATTATTTTAATACTAAAAAAAATACTATTTTGAAATAATTTTTAGTCAAATAATAATTTTTAAAAGTCAATTTAATATATTGTTATTTTAATAATAAAAAAGATACTATTTTGAAATAATTTTTAGTTAAATAATAATTTTTACGGGTCATTATTTTTAGATTACTAAAGTCAATTGGGCCTCTTTAAATTAACTACGAATAATTATAATTTAAATTTTTTTATTTAAAAAAGTATTAGTAATATTTAAATATCCTTTTTAATATTAAATAAAAAATTAGCTTGACGTGGGGCAATAATGTGCAGTGTTTTTTTTTTTATTATTATTTGATGTTTATGATAAACAGTGGTTTTGCTCTTGATTAGCTGAAGAGAAGCAAATGGAAGCCGTGGGCTAAACCGCGGAGTGGTGGGGTGGGAGCTTGGAAAGCCAATTCTAAAATCACGGAAATAAGGCAAGTTGGTATGGAAGTGATGTGATGCGATGCATCAGGCAAGTTGGTATGGAAGTGATGTGATGCATTGAATCAAGGAAGGCTGATTTTTCAAGTACGGATTTCCACGTGGCATCTTCCCATTTTTTGACACCTAATATACTTCACCATCTCTTTTGGTCCACTCGACTTCTGCTAAAGCATTGTAAAGCTAGCCCTCCATCTTTGAAAAACCCTAGCTAGGGCTCCAGTATTCATTCACGTTATTAAACCTGGTAATCCTACTTTGCCTTGGAAAATTAATTAGCTCTAGTCCTGATATGATAACTACTTTGACTCTCCGACCAAAAGACTTAAAACACTTAAACCTAACTCCTAGAGTTATTAAAGTAATTTTACAGGGGGTATTTTTATTATTTTTAAATTCATCAGAGATAAATATTTTTTATATATATTTTAATTATATAGTAAAATAATTAAAATTTCATTAGAAATAAAAAAATTTAAACCTAGCTCCAAGAGATGTTTTTGTACTTTCATAATGATTTGTTCATTAATATAATATCAATTCAGAAACAATTTGATATTTTATCAAATATAAAAAATATTTCATAATTAAAATACAAGGTGAAATGACTAAAATGCTATTAAAATTTAAAAAATAAATATAAGGTCAAAGGGTTTTTTAAAAAAATAAATATAAGGTCAAAGGGTTTTTTTGATCTTTGCATAATAATTTTTAAATAAAATTACAACATCAAATTAGATTATAGGTAATTTTATATTTAATTGACTAAATAAAAAAATAATTGTACGTGTAAGTTACATGTGGTGTGTGGGAGGCCCACATAAACTTTAAAAATACCATTATTTCGTGTTTATAGAAGTGTCTTGATCTCTTTTTAATGGTGCGACACGTGTCTTAGATGATCTAGTTTGTTCTTAATGAGCTTTTTTTAAAAATCTCTCATCTCCTAAAAATTATAATTTGGTTTTCTGTGTTTTTGGTATTTTAACTTTAATTTGTATTTTTTTTATTTTTAATTTTTGATCTTGCTCATTTGATAAAAAAATTGTTTGTTTTCTATTTCATATTTGATTAGTAAAAAATTATATACAATTAAAATACTCTTTAAATAAAAAAAAATAAACCAAAGGTGAAGGTGACTTTTTGATCCTTGCATAATGATTTTTTTTATTTTTTTAATTACAACATGAGATTAGAGGCAATTTTATATTTAATTAAATAGCAAAAAAAATAAAGTGAACATATACAATACTTGGAGACATGTGGGAAGTGTACATGTATTTTGAGACGCGTGCAATGCCTCTCAACCTAAAAAAACACTCTTTTATTTTATTTTTTGAAGTGTCATTATATTTTTTTTATGATTTTTTTCAACTATGTATTTTAAACCTTATAACTCAAATTCTGATTTAAAAAATTAATGAAAGTTTGACATGATATCCTCTAAATTATAGATTTATTATATTAATTTAAGTTAATCAAGATTTTTTATGTTACTTTTTATTTCATTTCGCTTAACTATATTTAACCAGCTGTGAATTTATTTACTATTTCTTTTCTTTCATCTAATTGAATTAAAGTCATATTATTGATTCCAGCCGGTCCACGCATAAACTCTGGGCCCCCAGGCGAAACGGGATCAATGTACTGTGTTATTATTGAAATAATGTATACCAGTAATGATAAAAAAAAAAAAAAAATAATAATCTTAATTAGGAGAGGGCTGTGGTTTGAACAAATCTAAGGTTAAGATTTTGATTGATGTGAGATGAACACGTGTCATGCTTGGAACCAAGAAGGAGGCCCCTTAGAGATGCAATGGCAGGCAATGACGTGACATCAACATGGAATGGGCTGCTCCTTGAGGCTTGAAGTCGTTATGAGTCGAGTAAGCTGATCGGGATATTTTTAATTATAAATTAAAAAATATATAATAAAGCTGAAATTTTATTTTATTTGAATTATAGTTTTGTAAATATAAAGTTAATTAATATACACTACATAATCTTAGTAAGAAATAAACTGTTTTATTTTAAAAAAGAACCAAAGCCTCACCCAATTCTAATGGAAACGAGAAGAAATATATGTATATATATATATATAAAAAAAAAGAGGGATGCCCAGCTTGGGTGTGAAAGAGGCGTGTCTTCCAGGGAGGAAGAGCGTCATAACTTACTAGAGAAGAGGGCAGGGGAGGTGAACCTTGGGAAACACACGGCCTTCCTTTTCCAAAACCAGCGACTTGCAATGTCAGCAAAACCCCACTTGTCCTGGTAAATTCACTGTACTTCTGGTGGCGTTACAAATACAGCGCAAGCAGCCAAAAAACCTTCACAAAGTTTCATGCTTTCTCCCAAAACAGGCACACTTCCCCATCTCTTCCATCCCCCCTCCTGAATTGAGGAGGAAGAGATCTCTATCCTTCCTGCCATCTTTCTTAGCAATAAGACAACGTGCACCGTTAAAGAAAGGAGGAGAGTGTGAGACGCAAAAGGTGTTTGATTGTGCTCTCTATCTCTCTCTCGCTCTCTGTCTTGCTGTCTTGCTTGGAAATCCTCTCATTACTCTTCCCACCAACACTTCCACCGCCACCGTCAGAAGCCACGGCATCGCAGGTTCCTATCTCGCCTGCCCTTCTCTTTTGCTTCCATCTTTCTTAAGTTTCATCACAGGTTTCTTTTCTTTTTGTACTGTGTTGAAAACTCATCATCTGCTAGCTTTGATAGAGTTTCTTGAATCTACTTCAAAAATCGATCTTTATGGTAACCCAAGTCTCTTTTTTCTTCTAATTTTAATGCTCTCTAAGCTTTATATGTTTAACATAAATCATGTTTCTTAAATCCTGTTAGCCTTTAAACATGTAATCTTGTAGAGAGGAGGAGGAGGAGACGAGGTCTGTGCAGGAGATATACTGCATCTTTCTTAAATTTTCCATCTTTTTGGATTGATGTGTATGTTGGCTTCTTGTTTAATAGAAAGATGATAAATTTACTGAAACTGATTGAATCTTTTATCACTTTTACTTGGAATCCAGTTGGGTTAATGGGGACGACGTTGCTTGGTACGAATTTCAAGGCAGCTGATCAGTTCTCCAGTAGCCGGCAGACAGACAAGCTGTTCATGCATGTAGAGAAGAGAGCTTAAATGAGTTTTTGTCAGATAGGTTCTGTAGATTGGTTGAATCTGGTACACACATCTCTAGCAATCAAAGCACCAGCTATCCACATTTAGATCCAAGAGGCGTTAGAGGTTTTTGGGATGTTTGATTTGTGAGTTATCTTCAAGGACCTGCAGGACGTTGGTGACTTCACAAGTGACAAGCTTGGCTGATTCACAGAGTTGTTGCTCATTGGTAGACTCAGCTTTTTTTGTTTGTTGCTGCATCTAGTCTTTTAACTACATTCTGTAATTGGGATCCAAGTTAACCACGGAGAGTGATTCTTCTGGTTTGGAAAGAAGGGATTGTCCATTGATACACTGCAAGGTCTCCGGCATTGTGAAATTAATTCTGTAGTTGAAAGTAATTGATCTTATCCGGGGTGTTGGGAATTTTGGGAACAAGAAGGATTTAAATGAGTTTCGAACATTCTGAACCAGAAACAACTTTGCCAAGAGGCATAATCAATCTGCAAGATCATTCAAGCAGCGTTATGGATGTGAGAGCAAGAAAGATCACTGCTGATAATCATCATGCCCCTCCTAATACAAGTGCAGAGAAAAAGAAAATTGAGTATAACCAATCACTCTCACAAGGGAGCACCAGAAGGTTGTTGACTACAAGCCATTTCAGCTTGGCATCATTGATTTTGCTCATGTGTGTTACAGCATCTTTGTTGATTCTTCCTTTGATACTAGCGCCGTTGCCTCCGCCACCTTTCATGTTACTTCTGCTACCAATAGGTATCTTGGTATTGCTCATAGTCTTGGCTTTTATGTCTTCTAATGCAAGGGATATAACTTTTGCATGCGTGTAAATGGTGTTTCAAGAAAACTTGTGCACCTGTGTCTGTTAACACAACTTTTGTAACTCTCTGAAAATGTTAATAAGAAAAGATACAGGTTCTTTTATCTCTTAGTCATAAAAACTGATGTGGCCTTGTTCATCGTTCACTAGATTTGCAGGAGATCTTATGCATAAAGCACAGAAATGGAGTTATTATATATAAGCAGGGATATGCTGCTATTGTTGCCATAGATCAAATATTTGGAATTCTCCTCTTCTCTCGTTGTTGCCTGTACTTCGCCATTAGCTATGTCAGTGATGAATTACAAGCCACGAGGAACTGGATTAAAAAAGATATAAATTGGAGGCTCCATCTCTTGGTATTTTGAGAGATTGATTTCCAATGCCTGGAGAGCTATGGTACAAGGGATCTCCATATGACCTTACTAGTTTCTAGTTGAAATTTATAATTTTCTTTCTTAAAAGTTGTGTTGCTGCTGTTTAGAATGCGAATATTCCCAGCCATGATGGTTTTGTTGAAATAGAAACAAACTTCCAAATCAAATCCATATCTAGGAAGTGTTTAAATAAATTAATGCGTTGATAGCAGCACTTTCTTTTTTTTATACATGGCATCGTGTAAAGTTCAATGCATTAACCAAGAATTTGAAAGGAACATGATGGTGGACATGACTCGGTATCCAGTGTATTTAATTGGATAAAGACTACGAACCATGATTTGGTCCCTAGCACTGTTTGACCATATAGCTTGGTTTAAATAATATGATTGATTCAACCTCAAATGGTAGCAAACCCTTTTCACTGGGGCAGATGTGTAATCGTGTTTTAAACTGTTTTTGATGCTTTTTTATATGGCCATTTGCTTAAAATATGAGACGAACACCCTAAAAAGAAGGAAAACATTACATACACCATACCCACCCATCCCATCATCCCCGAGAATAATTTCACAGATGAGATCCACGACCATTCCATGATTCATCACAGATTCAGTGGCTGCTGGTCAAATGCAATGTGAAACATCATTGTTTTACCACCCTCCTTGGTGGGTTTCACTCGCATACCCACCTTCGAATGATGCCCATATTTGCAAGTTGCAAGTCCAAACACCAGGCAAGCCATCACGTCATGAACAGGAAGCAGTCAACACGATCTCAATATACAAACAGTACGACAGCATTTATTCTTTCCTTCCTTGGAAACTTTTCAATCCAACCACAAAAGAAAGAAATGGGAGGAAGAAAGAAGGGATCCTGCTTACTGACCAAATTAAAAATGAACTAAGAAAGAGCAAACAAAATATATTTATATAAAGATTATGTTAGCTAATATACATTTCATTATGCATATAACACCCTTTGTGACATAGTTGCTCTCTGTCTTGCTCATTATAGTTAAACATGCACATGATCAATATAATGGTATGATAATTCCAGAGAGAACTAGTACTTTTGCCGGCCACATTATGGACGGAAAATTAACAACCTTAAAAGCTCCGTCACCCTAACCACAGTTGAAATATTTATTGTCTATGACATCTATGAGATATGGTGGGGAAATCACTGGTCAAAATCCACAACACAAGATATTCTAGGGCATCCTGCGGGGATGAACCAGAAATTGAGGAAGGTAACGCTCCAAAACAGCCAAGAGCTCTTTCCCTTGGCTCACATCTTCTGAGGACCCACCCCCAAGTCTTCTCACAGCTTCAACAAGCAGCCCCCTTTGTCTTTGTGAAAATAAACGACCACCAGTTGCTGCACACTCCCTGTACAATGGCAGATAAGCAACTGCCACTCTTAAAGGGCCTGGCAGATGCCTTAGGGATATAGGTGATCTACCCCAATTCAAAATCATAACGAGATTCATGTAATGTTCTTGTCCTTGCTTTAATCCATCCAAGAAAGCTGCCTCTGACCAGTTCTCTCGAAGAAAAGCCTTGAGCTCAGGGGCAACAGACTCATCATCAGAGCGAGCAATGCTGTCTGCAACAGCGTAAGTAGCAGTAGGATCACCCAAGAAATCAGAATGCAAAAGAAATGCCACACCATCAAGCGACCCACCACTTCGCTCCCCAGCAGCCTTGAGAATTTCTATACTGAGGGCAGCAAGAACATGCTGAGGAACGTGAGGGAGGAGATACCCAGCAACATCAATTTGACTACTGGAAGTTGCAGCTGTGAGAGCAAGGCAGAGTTCCATGTCACGACAACCCCTTTTCACAAACCACTGAACAACCTGCATGCAACCCCTTTCAGCTGCTCTCATCAAAGGACCCAAGAAGGCTATAGCATTGCCCTCTTCCACAAGACATTCCATTGTACCAATTTTGCAATAGTGAGAAGCAAAACCTAGGGCCAAGTCAACATCAACATCCAAGCTGTTCCTATGGGCAATCTAAAAGATTGATCCCATATTTGACAAGCAATAAATTCAAACAAAAATGTCAGATACAAATACTTAGATTGATGAAAAATTCTCTATCTCACACATGCACTCATGGAAATAGATATTGCAGCTGCGCTTTAGAAGGGGAAAAAAATTGTTCTACAGTGTGGTCCGAGGAAAAAAGACAAGCCAAATGCATCAAAACATACCCAAAAAAATCACGAGCACATCTTTCACCAACACAATAGGTGATGAAATCTGCAATTTTTGCTTATACTAAAAACGCTTCACTGCAGCATTTATTTCCTTCTTTACAACCATATATGAAAACTATTTGTGATTTGCACAACCAAAGCCATACTCATTTATGAGTAACATAGAAATAGAAGAAAGAAAGAAACTCACCCTAAAAAAACACCTAAGGAATAGGTATGATCATTAATAAGATTCTGATTGTCTCTCTTGCTCTCTTAATAAAATAGCAAGATTCATCTTCCAAGGAAAACAAAAACTTTGACCTTCCAAAACACTCAAAGGAACATAAGAAAAAGGCGTGTGTGTGTGATTAATGTTACCTGCAACAAAATGCGCACAAGTTCTGTACTTCCAAAACGAGAGGCTTCAAGGAAACACTGGTTGACATTGTCTGCACCCCCTTCAACCAACATGCCAAGCAACCCTTGGATTGCAGTTGCTGATATCCCAGATGACCAGCCAGGATTGAATGAACTGGAAAATAGAGTAAGAGGAAAACAGGCTGCATCAAAGGCCTCAGTGAAATCCTTCCCAGTGAGTTGATTGCCAGCAAGATCAAGAAATGTCTTGAATGCAGACAATTGGAGTTGAACCTCAGCAATTGAGCTTTGAATCACTCGGTCTCTATTTACCTGGCAGCGGGAATGGAAGCCAATACATTTCAAAGCCCACTCAGTAAACTTTTGAACCTTGGCACTGGCTTCTGCCTTCAAGACCTCATCCCCATTGCACTCCTGAAGTCGCTCCTTCAATCTGAAGATGAGAAAGGAAAACAAAGAATGCACATGAAGAGGATGCGGGGAAAAAAAATAGCTTTCACCATGCACGCTAGCATATAAAAATGTTGTGGCTGAAGTCCTGGTTTCTCTTTTTTCAATGAATGCAAAAGAGGAGATGGAATTTTTCGTTGTGTGCATACATTTGCTATTGCTAATTTATAAGGAAAGATAATTATACTATATTGTACCAGAAAGTAAGCACACAGAGTAGCACCTACCCCCTGAAATCTAAAGATACACGCTTACTCACTTCAAGAAGGCCTACACAAAGATATCTCCAGAGACTTTACCATTTATAAAACAGAAATGAAAATCACATCAGAATCCAGCCATTTATGTCTGTGCCTGTCCACTTGGACAGCCAGAAAGCAAACAAATCATATTTCACTAATTGTAAATCCATAGCACAAGATGTAATAAAAACAAGGAATGCATCTTCATTTATTTCAGCTCACAAGTCACGCCTAATCATGCATAGCAAAAATACCGTGTGCATTACAATCATATTAAATACAGTGAATAATTCATAAAAATTTCACAGTTCTTCTATAATGGAGCATATTTTGGTCACTAAACCTAAATAAGAAAATAGTTGAAGGCATTCTCAGATGGCTGGATGAAAACTTGCTCCCTCTGAAAGTGTTTTATACTCCTTGAAAGGAGACATTGTCAGAAGCATTAAACTACTAATTAGTATTCACTTTCTAATTTGATCTCTGGTTATTTTTGAACCACAAGTGTGTCAAGAAATTTAACCGATAAAATTTAATCTCTGGTTATTTTTGTACATCAAGAACTTCCCCAGTGAATTAGGCAATCCCACAGAACCAGAGTGCAGTTCCACAACAAGGAGCTGGATGAGATCTACAATTTCTTTCCTCAATGTTCAACCAGCAGGTTGTTGAGATTTTCATTTTGCGATTTTACTATGAGAGTGTATAGGGCATTAAAATAAAACTATATGAAGATACAAAGTA